AGGTTAGCTAATTACGTAATAACTTGAGACAGAAGTACCCTTAAGTAGGGACTGAATAAATTAACCGACTTGGTATTACATGGATCTCACAACTTTTTACGGTAAAAGAACTGAGTTGCGAGACTTGGTATTTATAAGTTATGTTTTTGATGGCATAATGTTATTCTTAATAATTTATAGTCGGTTGAACAATATTTTTAATTCTTAATTATTGTTGAAAACAACTTCGCCATAATGTTCACTACATATCGAAATTATAACATAAAACGCAATTTTGGAAAAAACATTTGACTTCGTCGAATATGAAAATTTGTGTTAATTACACATGATTTATAGTGATAATTCACACTTTATATTTAATTTTCAGTTAATTCTGGCTATTAAATATAATGATACGTGAACGACACAGTATTTGAAATGGCAATTTTATAAAGTGTATAAAATTATTACAAAGCAAAATATAAGGAATTAACTTTTAAAAACAGTGTAATTACTTACCTTTTATATAAAAACTAACAAAAACCTTTCTATTGTACCCACTTAATTTTTTTTAATTTGTAGTTGCCTCTTACACTCACGCGGCGAAGGAAATAAGACTACAGTATGTGACGTAAACGCGACGCGTAGGTAAAGGCGGAAACTCGTCATTTGATGTAAATTCTGTTAATTTAGAGAAGCGTAATTTAGTAACGAAACTAATTCTAATAAAATATTTATTTTATAACTCATATAAATAATATTTAAAAATAATTGTTCTGAGCACTCTTAACTATGGTTCTGACTAAACGTAGTGATCATATACTCTTTGGTTCTGAGTGGTCGTTTCTAAATATTACCATACTCTTTGGGGCGTTCTACAAAGGTGTCATTTGATTGCCCCATGTGTACATGTGTACTTCAATGATTTGAAAGATGAAAGCAGGGGTGTCACTTCCACTATGGAAGGTATGGAGCACTCCATACCTCAAGTTTTTCAAGGTATGGAATTCCATAGCTGAAATTAGGAAATAAATCGCATATTACTACAAACCCCATATAAATAAATCGCAAGCCCTTAAACCTCAATACCCCACATCTTATAGTTCAATAAATAAGTTGAGTATATACACTGCAAACTCTTAAACCTTAATACCCCACGAGTAATGCGAACAAATTTGAAAATCGCGCCACCATTTTCCATACCTCAGATTTTTACAAAGTGACACGCCTGGATGAAAGTGCAATGTATTTCGCAACTTAGTTTCAGATGTCAGCATCTGATTGCGGTTGCTACACAGTTTCTTTGTGTTGTAACTTCTAAGTAACTTTTAAATTAGCTGTGCTCTAAACGACTGACTGAAACCGAATAAAGCAAAATAAATGCGTTGCCAAAACCACGAATGAAAACTTTAATAAAGGGGATTTCACTGCTTATAGTCGTCGGTAAAAAAAATCAAGTTGATCATCCTAAAGGAGAAGCCGGGAGATCCATAACAGTAACACAGGGTATCCTAGCTTGGACTCGACTCCCATGCTCTTTGTTTTGTGGAAAAAATATGTTTGAAAAAGATAAACTGCAATGTGGGAAAAAATAATAGAGGTCATTATTGTTTTATCGGTAATGTGGTAAGTGCTGCTATAAAAGAGTTAAATAACCTGCTAGTCGCTACAATTTTGAAATATGTGCTAAATACACCAAAAAGCGCTGGATTAAGTGCTAGGTGCTAAAATTTCGAAATGCGCGCTATACCTACATTCCAAAAAAGCGCTAGATCTAGTTCCCAAACCGCTACAATGGCAGCTTGGATTTTGATTTTTGTATTGCGTATATTATAAATACAATATCACGACATTTCTTTACAATTTTATTACTTTCGGTCGGGTTCAGTTGTGTGGCTTGAGTAGATACAATTTTTTTCAGTAAGTCTCAATACGATTCACCGGCGGAGAATCTCAACACCGCAATTCAGAAAAGGTTGTAATTTGTACAACTCCATCTATTACGTCCTTTGTGTGAGAAAACATCCTTTTTTTAATTATTATGAAACGGAATACATCTCTTTTTGTGTTTTTAAGTATAAATATATTAATTATTATGGAACGTTTTTTTACACACAAATCTTTTTATTCCTATTTCTGAGATATTATGGCGCCATTGAAAAAATTCGAACCTACAATTCAAAATAATAATCATTACGTTCGATAGAATTAACCAATTTTAATAAAAGAAAGATTAAATATAACTCAAAGATACGCTTTATGATTTTCTTAACGATTTCTTTGAAAAAAAAGTTGTTTACTTTAGACGTGATGCGTTCATGTAAAAACAGACAAACAGACAGACAGACAATTATAAAAATGGTAGAAATTATAAAAATGTACTTATTTAATTATTTTCAGTTCCCCATAATGATTTTAGCCACAAAAATATACTATACAATGTACAGAAAAAGACAACATGTTATCATTTTTATTATATGTATATATTTAATTAAAGAGAGATGACGCTGCTAACATCAATTCTAAAAATAAAAGAGATTAATTGACGCGATTGATACATTATGTAAAACGTAAAAGAACTTATAAATCAGTGCCTGCACAGTAAGTAAAAAATAAAGTTTGATCCTCGCCAAAACCAACGCAATTGTTAATACCTCTTTTAAAATTTGATTTACCACATAGAACACTCGGCGGTAAAGAATAAATTGAGTTTGTCAACACGCAGTAGGGCAGCGAATAATATAAAGATTAGCAGTAAATATGAAACTCATCTACAGGAAAAAACCACAACCGGCCATTTGCATTACATTTGCACAACACCACCATCTATCGATGAAATTGGTTAACTATTGTGCTTTAGATTTTGTTAATAAGGTTAATATATTTTTGTATAATATATTTAATACGTTCTTTAATACTTTTGTTTACTGCGTTTTAGATATACATAATTCTATCATTATAGAACATTATTTACATCATTTAATTATGATTTATGATATGATATTAGTTTAAAATGCACTTGATGACTCAAACAAAGCCACCGTTGAGCAAATTCGTACCTATACTTCCCACCCATACTTCAGAATATTTATCATAACTTTTGATGGAATGAACAGATTTTAATGAAATAAAGACTAAATGTAACCCGAAGATTCATTTTATAATTTCATTAACAATTCTTATGATATAAATTACTACTTTATACGTGATACGTTAACAAACAAACAGACAGACAGACAGACAGAAAATTCTAAAAATGGTAGAAACTTATTTAATTACTTATTTTTAGTACCCCTCAATCACTTTTATAACAAAAATATAAAATGTACAGACATCTACTATTTACATTTTTATTATATGTATAGATAATGCTGAACCCGCAGCCCACTCTTAAGTTTACAAATAATATGAACATTATTATCATGCCAGATACCAAATGCGATTGCAAAATTTCGCCAACTAGCTTTACTTAATACTTCTAAAATTAATAACACTTCAAATATCCTCATACCAACAAAGGAAGAATAAAAGCCGGCCAAGTGCGAGTCGGACTCGCGCATGAAGGTTTCCGCATCATAAGTAAAACACGTTTCTAGTAGGGGAGCCCCCTTTAATTTATAATTTATAATACACATACAATTTTAACTGTCTACCTATTACGGATAATGAGATACATCCCGCTGACAGATAGACGGACGGACGGACAGACGGACGTACGGACAGACAGACGACGGATGGACGTCGGACGGACAGTGGAGGCTTAGTAATAGGGTCCCGTTGGTTACCCTTTGGGTATGGAACCCTAAAAACGGAGCGCTGCGTATATTTCAATGGATGCAAAAATCAAGCGAAAATCATGCTCACCTTATTGCAAGAACACGCACTCACGTACATGTATGCATTTAAAATCATTTACAACCATTAACATGGTTTTAGGAGCGTCCATGTTTGCATCCATCAGTAAACTTTTACGGGCTGATAAAAAAGGACAAAAGATATATACGAGAGTTCGTGTCAAGAAGTTGAGCATGTTTTCAGCTTCACTTAAAATGTACGCAACACTCCGTGTTAATATTATATAAAATATAGCGGAAAACTGTTTCAATATGTGCATGCATAAGTCAGCTTGCAATTTGAATATCTAAGAGCACGTCAAAAATGTAACTTCGTCCTTAAGATTGTTGAAAATTAATGTAAAATCTATTACTATAATAAAACTGTCCCTAGGCTAAATCTGTACATTGTATATTTTTTGGAAAATTCTAATTGCGATATAGGTAGGCACTTTTTTTAGTTGTCTATCTATCTGCCTGTCCCTTTGCAACAACTAGGTGGATTTTGACGAAACTTGATATGAAACGTGTCAAATGAGCACACAGTCTACCTAATGGTAAGTGGATGCTGTGGCCATTAGACATCTACATCTATCCTTGATTAAGAATCAAGATGCAGATCCATTTTCATCCTTGAGTGCTAAGTACACACGCATATATTATATGTAGTAATTAAAACACACGTACAAAAGAAGGCACGCACACACGCATATATAATAAATACATATGTAGTAATTTTAATTATTTTTATCATAAATTCTTTAGCTTAGGGTAGGGTCAAGAGTACTCGGATACCTAGACGTGCATGTATGAAGAAGATAATGAATCTGAAAGAAGCGAAAGAGATATGTAAGGATCGTGACACTTGGCGATCTGTTCTCTCTGGCTACCCCGTCAGGGATTGTGCGTGAAGATAAGTAATTCTTTAGCTGTAGTTAGTACTGAAATCATATTATGTCATTATACTTTCATCAGGTCAATCATATGTCATTATACTTTTCATAGGCTTTTAAAAGATTATATTAAAACAGAATAGTTGATGCAGTACCGCTCCAACCACGAATTACCCTAATGATCATTACGGATCCGTTTTGAAGTACGTAATAGCAGTTAATTATTTTACTAGGAAAAGGTCGGGAATGATTTCCTGAATTAGTTTTCCCTCATCATAAAACTGAATAACAGAAAATGTGTTCACTGCAATATTTAAAAGATGTTTTCAACCGTAGAGATTTCAATTTTGAAAATCCACATTTGGATCTAGATAAATTTCACCCACAATTGAAAATTTTTCTTTTTACTAACGGCATTTTCTTTAATAATACAGAGTCAAAGTTCAGGTAACATTTTGCAAATACCTCGATTATTATTTTTTTTATTTTCTATTCGTGAGTTTTTAATTATTTCATTTTAATAGGTTTATATTGCCCGCTATGTTCTCATCCTTAGCGGTGGCGGCCTTAGTTCTGGAAGCAATTTTGATGTATCACGGATTATCTGAAAAGGACTACGCAATTGCTACTGAAAGCTTTTGCTATTGTATTGTACTTACCACGATTCCAGTTGCGAACATAAGCGTACTTGCAAACAAAGCAAAAATCATAAATCTTTTGGGGCGAATGAACGACGACTTCAAATATATTTGTAGATTAGATCAAAAATATAAGTAAGTTTTTTATCACTATTAAGTGTTTAAGGGAGCTAACAAGCTACGTAATAAGTTGCTACTGCAGACTTCAAAATAGAAATAGTTTTGGTTTGATAATAAAAACCCTGCAGTCTGAGAATTGCAACTGCATACAGAAACTTCAAGTCACTAACTATAGTTAACTATAGTTTGTTTGAGGAATAGTTTGTTTAACTATAGTTTGTTTAAGGAAATATTTATTTCACTATAGTGAAATAAATATTTCCTTAAACAAATCGCTTATTGTCTGCTAATGCTCCAACGGAAGGGCGTGAACAGGGGTGCAAATTTTTCTGGACCAAGAAAGGCCGTATTTATGCGCGGCAGTCTGACTCTCGATCTTGTCCTGCTTGTTGAATGCTTTGTGTAGACAATATTAAGAGTATTTTAAAAATGACTATGACTAAACTTACAAAATTTTTGTTTTGTATGAAAAACTGATAATAATAAAATAAGTGCCTACTTTATTAATAACAGCAAAGAACACATAGTTAAGTGTTCTATGCTGTTACAGTTTTTGACTTCTCGATGCTCTCTTTGATTTTTCGACGCACTCACGCATCTATTGCGTTTCTCGTCGATTATAATGATCCATAGATATCCGGTGGCCTATGCTGCTCTTTGTAACCATCTTATTTTATTCAATGATTTCAATATAAATATATTGGATAAGAGTGAGCGCAACTCTAACATCTCGCAATTAAATCAATTTAACAACGCCTTAGTCTTATGAACCACATTAATAAACCTACACATTGTACTACATAAAGTTAAACTCTAATTGACCTTTTAACGGTGGTAGAGCCACGCAGCAGTTTTTGCTGTTGCATGTATGGGCCGGCTCGAGCCGGGTTGGTACCACGACCTCACAGAATACCGGCGTGAAGTAGAAGCTTTGCTTCTGCGTTTCGTCTGGTGAGTGCAGGTGGCCGGAGGCCCAATTCCCCCCCCCCCCCATCAACATGGTAACGGAATTACACGAAGAACTACCCCAGGAGGGTACCAGCACCCCTGGAGAATCCCTCGCTGAGCATCCACGACCATGTTATTCCGATCCTGAGCGTGGGTGCTCAGGCTGCCCCGCGTATTCTGGGGGGGGCAAAATTCCGCTCAAAAGCATTACTGCTAGGGGTAAACTGAGCAAGAACACCAAGGCGACCCCTGCCACGCTATCCGTGAATTTCTGCAACATCAGGGGACTTCACTCTAACCTAAACGCCGTCCACTACCCTCTCGAGACGGCGAAGCCGGCCTTGCTCTTTCTGACCGAGACGCAGGTTTCCTCTCCGGCTGATATTTCGTATCTCTCCTACCCGGGGTACAAATTGGAGCATTCCTTTGTGCCTCGGGCTGGAGTTTGCGTGTATGTCAGAGAGGACATCTGTTCTCGACGTCTCGGCAGTCTTGAAGGTTCGGACCTGTCCATCCTTTGGCTACGCGTAGACAGCGACGACCATCCGCGCGTCTACGGGTGCCTCTATAGGTCCCATAGCGGTAATGCCGAAACAGACCGACTCATCGACCACGTCCAAATGGTTACAGATTTCTTGCTACAACAGGTTCCATCCGCAGAGTTCGTGATCCTTGGCGATTTTAACGCCCACCATGCCGAATGGCTCGGTTCACGTCTAACCGATCATGCGGGGAGATCTGTTTATGACTTTGCCTTGGCATATGGTCTGACACAACTGGTTACTTCGCCTACGCGGATTCCAGATGTGGAGGATCATACACCTTCCCTGTTGGACCTTCTGCTGACCTCTCATCCGGATGGATATCAGGTTTCTGTCGATGCCCCTCTCGGCTCTTCGGACCATTGTCTGATCCGGAGTGTGGTGCCACTCACGCTCCCTTCGCGGTTGCGTTCTGCAGGTTGCCGCCGTGTTTGGCATTACAGGTCGGCGGATTGGGACGGAATGCGGTCCTTCTTTGCATCCTACCCATGGGGGCGGGTTTGCTTCTTGCCGGATGATCCCAGCGCTGTTGCTGACTCTGTCACTGATGTGGTGCTACAGGGAATGGAACTATTTATTCCATCATCTGTGGTACCCATCGGAGGCAGATCTCAGCCTTGGTTTGGTCGCTCCTGTAAGACTGCATTACGCAGTAAGCAGGAGTGTTATCAAGCTTGGGCTGCGGCTTCGGCGACTCGGGATGTAAATACCAGCACACTTAAAAAGAAGTATAACTTCGCCTCCAGGTCCTTCAAAAGAGTTATTGCCAAGGCAAAGTCAGAGCACATAGGCAGAATTGGCGAGAAACTAGTTCACCTTCCTTCGGGAACCCGTGCATTCTGGTCTCTCGCCAAGGCTGTCCAAGGGAATTTCTGTAAGCCATCACTACCATCTCTGCACAGGGAGGATGACTCACTGGCCCATGACGCAAAAGACAAAGCCGACCTTTTAGGCTCCCTTTTTGCGTCCAACTCGACTCTTGATGACGGGGGGAAAACACCGCCGACCATCCCGCGGTGTGAATGCTCCATGCCGGATGTGCTGTTCTCACAGCGCTCGGTTCGCAAAGCACTGCTCTCCCTGGACATCCAGAAGTCGAGTGGGCCTGACGGAATCCCCCCAATTGTGCTGAGGACGTGTGCTCTTGAGTTGGCACCGGTCCTAACGCGTCTTTTCCGGTACTCCTACTCCCAAGGCGTAGTCCCGAATTCATGGAAGACAGCTTTTGTCCACCCGATCCCTAAAAAAGGCGACCGCTCAGACCCGTCCAACTATAGGCCTATCGCGATCACCTCCTTTTTCTCCAAAATAATGGAATCCATTATTAACTGCCAGCTCATCCGGTACCTTGAGGATCACCAGCTGATTAGTGACCGCCAATACGGTTTTCGTCGGGGTCGATCAGCTGGTGATCTTCTGGTCTACCTGACCCATAGATGGGCGGAGGCAGTAGAGTCCAAGGGGGAGGCATTGGCCGTTAGTCTGGACATTGCGAAGGCCTTCGATCGGGTTTGGCACAAAGCGCTTCTTTCGAAGATCCCTTCCTATGGGCTTCCCGAGAAATTGTGCAATTGGATCACCAGCTTCCTTGCAGATCGGAGCATCAAGGTCGTTGTAGACGGTGCATGCTCTGACTACAAGCCTATTAACGCTGGTGTTCCACAAGGCTGTGTGCTATCACCAACGCTGTTTCTTCTGCATATCAATGATATGTTGCTAACTGGTAACATTCATTGCTATGCGGATGACAGCACTGGTGATGCTCTATACACCGGCCGTGCCAATATTTCTCGGGAAAACGTCGCTGAGTACCGGAACAAACTTGTGTCTGAAGTCGAGTCTTTGCTGAACAAAGTCTCGGATTGGGGGCGACTAAATCTAGTCCAATTTAATCCTCAGAAGACACAAGTTTGCGCGTTTACCGCTAAAAAGAACCCCTTTGTCGTATCTCCTCAGTTTCAAGGCACTCCCCTTCTTGCCTCAGCCAGTATCGGTATCCTCGGAGTCGACATATCGAGTGACGTGCAGTTTCGTGGTCACTTGAAAGGGAAGGCCAAATTGGCCTCTAAAAAGCTTGGCGTGCTCAGCAGAGCGGGACAGTATTTCATGCCGGCACACCGCCTGCAACTTTACAAGGCGCAAGTTCGGCCTCACATGGAATACTGTTCCCATCTCTGGGCAGGGGCTCCCCAGTGCCAGCTCCTTCCACTTGACCGCATCCAACGCAGAGCGGCTCGAATTGTCGACGACCGAGCCCTTTCCGATCGGCTCGATTCATTGGCACTGCGAAGAGATGTTGCATCCCTTTGCATTTTCTTTCGCATCTACCATGGGGAGTGCTCTGAGGAATTGTTCGGATTAATCCCAGCCGCCAAATTTCACGAACGCACATCGCGGCAGAACTCCCGATACCATCCACACCATCTGGATGATTGGCGGTCCACCACTGTGCGATTTAGAAGATGTTTTCTTCCTCGCACGACCTCCTTGTGGAATCGATTACCATCAGCGATTTTTCCGGACCGATACGACTTAGGGACCTTCAAGAAAAGAGCGTACTCCTTTTTAAAAGGCCGGCAACGCATCTGCGATTCCCCTGGTGTTGCAGTTGTTCATGGGCGGCGGTAGTCACTTACCATCAGGTGAGCCGCATGCTCGTTTGCCCCCTCTCCTATAAAAAAAAACCTGGCTGATATGGCACTGAGTGCTGTAATACTTGAAACGAGTGGCTTTTGTTATGCTTCTATTCTTGAGAGCGTGGTCCTTCCAAGGTTGAGCCGACCCATTTGCAATTTTGAACGTCGTGAAGGAAAAGATCGCGAGGAAATCTGCATGTCTGAGTAGTATAAAATTCCAAGAATATGTGAAGTCCACCAACACAGAAATGAAAATAGGCACGTGCCCAGCACTAAGGCGTAGTAAATAGGTTGTATGTTTGCTTTTAGGACGCGTTTGCAAATCGGGCAAAATTATGTTGTTTTTCGATTTTTCGGTAAAAATAAACCAAATCAAATATAACTACAACCACGTATAGACTGGTTCTTTATCATCAAATGGTAGGAACTTTTTTTGTTGAAAATAATAGTTTTTTATATTGTCAAAACGATCTTCTCTAGCCAGTTTCTACAAAATTAACGATACCAACTCGAGTTTAGGTACCTACATTTTTTGTTCTATTATTAACATACGAGTATATTAAGATTTCTAAAAACACTATAAGTAGCCAGACATATTCAATAAAACATAATTGTATTTACTTTTTATTAAAAGGTCACAAATAGTCGTAAAAATAAATGAAAAGTGATGGTTATTTTTTCACATATTTTGTTAATACGGATGAATCATAATTAATTGCAATAAGGATTATTTTATTTTTGGTGCCTCATTTGATTTTTTGTACAAAATTTCGATGAAACTACAGTCCGTGCTCGGCCGCCGTCGTGATTGGATACTGTATCGCCTATTGCAGCGGCTCATGCTGAAAAAGATCGCTGTACCATAACAAAATATTCGAATATGATACTA